TGCTATCGTGGTGCGTGGGATCAGCCCTAAACTTTGTCCAAACCCTGCAATAATCGTAAACACTAAACAAGGGTAGACATTTCTAGTTTAACTGCCTGAAGATTTTCTCTATGGTTTACGTAACCCCATCTATTATCTCATTTTTGTACATGTTCTGGGAGAACTCAACTTGCTCCCTATAAAATGCAACGTCTTCCTGCACAGGTTCTGGTTTGGTTAAGTGCCAGCTGCTTCGGGTTTGTAATTAGTTGTTGCAATTTACCGATTTCGTCGTCATTTTCATAATCCAGATTTCGTTTTGGCATTCCAGTTCAGCCATTGATCCTGAAGCTCTTTTATAGTAGAATCATTATGGCATCGTATATCTGAGATTTTAAATGAGTGTTGACCTCACGTTGGTTACTCTCGTCCATCAGACTCTTTACGTCATTTCTCAGTTTAGATCAAGTTCTTTTAGGAAGCCAATTTCATCTTGCAGTTCAGCAATGTGTGACATCGTTCATCAGTTTGTGTAGCAGCACTTAAGAAACTTGCATATCTTCGTACTCAGCGTCAAGCATAGCTTCTAAGTCTGCAACCTTCTTTTTTGACTCAATATTTTGAGCTTCAAGATAGTAGTTTAGGGCTCTCTGATCTTCCTAGGTTCTTCAGTTGAGTACGCAGCATCTCTATTTCTGACTCGTATGTTTTTTAGTTTTTTATAATGTTTTTCCAGAAAATCGAGTCTGTATTGCAAGTCGATGAAATTCTTGCGCTTTTTGAGAATTTTTTTGAACCCTTCTTTTTCTTCATGGTACGCTCCGTTACTTGGCGGAGTTCCTGACTGTAACGATCGATTTTAGAATTGGCTTCTGTGAGCTGTTCTTCAGGTCCAAAATCTCCAGCTGATTATCTAGTTTAGTGAATTCTCTGAGCTCATTGAAAGATTCTTCCAGTTCTTTGAGTTGTCTTTTAAGTACACTTGCAGGCACGTCTTCAGTTATCACAGATTCTGCTTCGGCTAGTGCCTCCTCATATGTCTCTTCTTGAATAGGCCTCATTTCACGTCCGGATGATTCTTCTTCGGGTGGATAATTTTTCAATGGCATATACCGTAGGGATGCTTTTTTAGGTGATACGTTGCCATAGTCTCCAAAAGTATGACGTCTTAATGTTTTTTTTCGGTGTTGATGCCGAGGCTCCCATTTGGAAGCGCCCGACAATAGATACTTCCGTTTTTAGTCTTTCTATCTCGAGCAGATACTCTTGTTTGCTTTCTCCATCTCTTCTAGCTTAATTGCCTGCTTTTTGAGCCGAGTTTCGAGATCGCGAGTCAAGTTCTGATATCCTTGAAGTGCCTCTTCTGTAGCTGACAAGATGTTTGCTTTCGGTTTATTTTGACAGTTTTAGTGCTTTGGGCGAATTCTAGTGTAGATCTAGTCTCCTCCTCTGCAGCTAAAGTAACATTCCCGATAATCAATGATTTGGCATTACTGCCAAGAGCCTGTGAGAGCAGTCTAGTCAATTTCGAATCGCGATAACTGATAAACTCCTTCCCCTCGCTTAGTTGCCTTATCACATTTCCTAATACTGACAAAGATTTGTTTATGTTAGCCCCCTCTTTAAGATGCTCACAGCAGCTTTCGTCAGAGAAACTCTCTCAGAACCAGCTAAGTCCATTGAGTTAAGGTAGCTTATATGTACAGGTCCATCTTTCTGATTGGCATCTTTCGACTCCAGATAATCCGGAAAATCGTGTGTGATCGAGATGACCTCTCATTCATGCGAATAGCTGCAACTCGTCTGATCTTATTGCCCTACATCATGTTCTCCATAACTTGATCAACATTGTCTACGACAGCTTCCCTTGCATCAACAGCACATTTCCTTGATATCTTCTCTTATAGTTAAACCCTGATTGCTCTTATCCAGGAGGTCATTGATCTTTTCATTGTAGATTTCAATATACTGAATCTAATCAAGTACCTCTTATCAACCTGGTCTGCCACCATGCTGGAATAACTGATTAGATACTAATTGAAAAGCCCCAGGATCTGTTTTATTGCCCAAAATGGTGTGTGTTTTGCCAGAAGATGTTTGGCCATATGCAAATATTGTTGCATTGAAACCTTCCATGAAGGAATCGACTAAAGGTTTTACTACAGATCCATATACATCTGAATTTGTACATCCTGGTAAATACATGGTCGAATATATAAACCTCTCCATGGCGACTACTTTCATCGGCTTCCCAAATGCAGTTTTCTCTTACGTTCCAAAGACGCTCTAGACCATCGGCTACCTCGCGGTGGATCATTGGTCTGATCTTTATGGCTATTTTAATATTGTCGGAAGTCATTTTGGAAGCTTTGAACTGAAATTTAATAGAACTAGGGCTATTTCACGGGTTATAAAGAGGGCAGATGTATCAGGTTGATACATTCTTTTTTCCTCCTTTCCAGTATAGAAGATTTTTTCTCTTGTAGTGCTATGAATGCGGTCCGATAGTTTAGTAGAGCTACATTTACAGGGTGACTCAAAATCAAAGAAGAAACAGAATTGTTAAATTTCATATAGACTGTTATTGTTATTACAAAAAGAAGTTGAAGCAGAAGCAAATTCTCACAAATCTATAGATCCATCACTTTCAGCACCCGATTTTTCAACTTGAAAAATGCAGCTCGGTGAAGAATCACAAGGTAACTGTTGTCTATTCAGACAATACTCTTCTAAAAGCAACGCGAAGTTACCTAGTGCCTTACATGAATCGCCTTCATAATTCTTCATTATTGTCAATGGAAAACTGAAATTGTTGATTATTACAGTTTTTAATGCTGCAAATAAGCAGATGGTGTTCGTGTTGGAAATCCCACGTCTAATCTCGCAAAACAGGTTATCCACCGGATCTTACTATCAACTTCTGAATGCCATTACTGTTTTTAGCCATGTGTACAACAGGTTTGTACGCATAAAACGCTCAGGGGAACAATAAAATTTCGTCGCCTAATAGAACTTTCAGTCCCAGACTGAAAAAAAAAGGAATTTACAGAAGCTGGGTGGATACCAAATAGCACAAGGCCATCTTCTCGTTCTCTAACCAGTATTGTAATTTACACACTTCCGATCTAATGCATTACCCCCCGCCTTCATAGTGTTATAAAAATAATATAGAATCTTATCAGGTTTCTTTGATTCCTCTACTATTTTGTTATCATGCTGCATAGATTGCTATACGAGAACATGTGTATTTGGTTTTGGAAGATACTACACTAAGGCTGTAGTGCTAGTGAACATAAACTTAGAAATACCTGGCTGTGTTTCCTTCTTATTTGGAACTACATGTTGGGGTACTTGTTACTTATTTTTACGCTTCTGCCGACATTGGTCAGTTGGTTGATGCGCAATTCTACATGTAATTCTACTGGTGTGATATTTCTGTTCGTATAGACGGAAAGCATGAGCAGGTAGTGGTGAGTCTTTGCATCATCAGTCCATACTTATTCGGTTTAGTTTCTTGTAGGCACAGGAAGGACATCGGCCCACGAGCATCTCGTATTTTGTAGGGGAACTCACCCGAAATATAAAAATTTCGACTAGTTCTCTATGAGTGTCTCGAAAATTTCACGTATTTGGAGAAAATTTATCTGCATTTCTCGAGTCATCAGGGTTATTATTTCCAAATTGGTTGCCACGGACTTTAGTTCAGGTAAATGCGTAATAATATTGTCGTCTGGATTCGACCAGTTGCAGGCGCGTTGTTTGACCAATTGTACATGTTTTTTCCTATAAGCATAGCGAGGTCGCCCATAGGAAGTTGTTCAGGTTGATCGCTAACAGCGTCGTCCTCGGCGTGGCTGTATTGTTCATCCGCCAACAACGAAAAAATCCATTGTGAAGGAAGTTCAAATCGTACACGCAACTGACATCCTCGGATCAAATTTGACCGCAAAGTCAACAAACCAACACTTGTGATGTTTAAATTAAACTGTGGTTTGAGGTATACGTGCCTATACCGTATGAGAAGTCACGGGACCCCCACCACATAACTGAGAAAGCTCGAATCATCCGACGATACCATTAAAGGATTAATTTCTATATTCTTAAACGAATCTATAAAATCAAAGTGGCTGGGTTTCAATTTACATAGCTCTTTGTATGGTCTTGTTTGCTGATCAACATTATATGCTTCTAGACATGTTCAAGCTGTGCAGCTTCTTCACTTTCATATTAATGTCAATAAGAGCATTTCATCCATTTTTGAATAAATGTGGTTCATCACAAATTGTAGAAATACTCTGAGCATTGACTATAAAATGGAATGGACTTGATCCGTGAGTATTCTCCGAGCAAATCGTCTCAAGTGCGTTTTGATCAGTTGCGCCCCTGATTACAAATAGTGCCAACGACGCACAAACCAAGTCGCTGCAAGTTGTGATCACATGAACAATAATCGTTTTCAGATCTGGGATTCTTGTATCTTTTACTAGATAATAAGCCACAACCTGCTTATAATTTTTACGAATCCCTCTTATCATGGAAGTAAGGGCATGATTTCTGATAAATCACTTTTACAGAGTTCTAGTTGATTTTGTTACCTCAGAATTCAAGATTTATTAGCTGAAAATTGTACACTGTGAGCGGTTACCAAGACTAGATTCACAATCTTAAGTCCTAGGTGCTATCGTGGTGCGTGGGATCAGCCCTAAACTTTGTCCAAACCCTGCAATAATCGTAAACACTAAACAAGGGTAGACATATTTCTAGTTTAACTGCCTGAAGATTTTCTCTATGGTTTATACGTAACCCTCCATCTATTATCTCATTTTTGTACATGTTCTGGGAGAACTCAACTTGCTCCCTATAAAATGCAACGTCTTCCTGCACAGCTGGTTCTGGTTAAGTGCCAGCCTGCTTCGGGTTTGTAATTAGTTGTTGCAATTTACCGATTTCGTCGTTATTTTTCATAATCCCGATTTCGTTTTGGCATTCCAGTTCAGCCATTTGATCCTGAAGCTCTTTTATAGTAGAATCATTATGGCATCGTATATCTGAGATTTTAAATGAGTGGTTGACCTCACGTTGGTTACTCTCGTCCATCAGACTCTTTACGTCATTTCTCAGTTTAGATTCAAGTTCTTTTAGGAAGCCAATTTCATCTTGCAGTTCAGCAATGTGTGACATCGTTACATCAGTTTGTGTAGCAGCACTTAAAGAACTGTGCATATCTTCGTACTCAGCGTCAAGCATAGCTTCTAAGTCTGCAACCTTCTTTTTTGACTCAATATTTTGAGCTTCAAGAGATAGTTTAGGGCTCTCTGATCTTCCTAGGTTCTTCAGTTGAGTACGCAGCATCTCTATTTCTGACTCGTATGTTTTTAGTCTTTTTATAATGTTTTTCCAGAAAATCGAGTCTGTATTGCAAGTCGATGAAATTCTTGCGCTTTTTGAGAATTTTTTTGAACCCTTTCTATTTCTTCATTGTACGCATCCGTTACTTGGCGGAGTTCCTGACTGTAACGATCGATTTTAGAATTGGCTTCTGTGAGCTGTTTCTTCAGGTCCAAAATCTCCAGCTGATTATCTAGTTTAGTGAATTCTCTGAGCTCATTGAAAGATTCTTCCAGTTCTTTGAGTTGTCTTTTAAGTACACTTGCAGGCACGTCTTCAGTTATCACAGATTCTGCTTCGGCTAGTGCCTCCTCATATGTCTCTTCTTGAATAGGCCTCATTTCACGTCCGGATGATTCTTCTTCGGGTGGATAATTTTTCAATGGCATATACCGTAGGGATGCTCTTTTAGGTGATACGTTGCCATAGTCTCCAAAAGTATGACGTCTTAATGTTTTTTTCGGTGTTGATGCCGAGGCTCCCATTTGGAAGCGCCCGACAATAGATACTTCCGTTTTAGTCTTTCTATCTCGAGCAGATACTCTTGTTTGCTTTTCTCCATCTCTTCTAGCTTAATTGCCTGCTTTTTGAGCCGAGTTTCGAGATCGCGAGTCAAGTTCTGATATCCTTGAAGTGCCTCTTCTGTAGCTGACAAGATGTTTGCTTTCGGTTTATTTTTGACAGTTTTAGTGCTTTGGGCGAATTCTAGTGTAGATCTAGTCTCCTCCTCTGCAGCTGAAGTAACATTCCCGATAATCAATGATTTGGCATTACTGCCAAGAGCCTGTGAGAGCAGTCTAGTCAATTTCGAATCGCGATAACTGATAAACTCCTTCCCCTCGCTTAGTTGCCTTATCACATTTCCTAATACTGACAAAGATTTGTTTATGTTAGCCCCCTCTTTAAGATGCTCACCAGCAGCTTTCGTCAGAGAAACTCTCTCAGAACCAGCTAAGTCCATTGAGTTAAGGTAGCTTATATGTACAGGTCCATCTTTCTGATTGGCATCTTTCGACTCCAGAATAATCCGGAAATCGTGTGTGATCGAGATGACCTCTCATTCATGCGAATAGCTGCAACTCGTCTGATCTTATTGCCCTACATCATGTTCTCCATAACTTGATCAACATTGTCTACGACAGCTTCCCTTGCATCAAGCAGCACATTTCCTTTGATATCTTCTCTTATAGTTAAACCCTGATTGCTCTTATCCAGGAGGTCATTGATCTTTTCATTGTAGATTTCAATATAACTGAATCTAATCAAGTACCTCTTATCAACCTGGTCTGCCACATGCTGGAATAACTGATTGGATACTAATTGGAAAAGCCCAGGATCTGTTTTATTGCCCAAAATGGTGTGTGTTTTGCCAGAAGATGTTTGGCCATATGCAAATATTGTTGCATTGAAACCTTCCATGAAGGAATCGACTAAAGGTTTTACTACAGATCCATATACATCTGAATTTGTACATTCCTGGTTAAATACATGGTCGAATATATAAACCTCTCCATGGCGACTACTTTCATTGGCTTCCCATATGCAGTTTTCTCTTACGTTCCAAAGACGCTCTAGACCATCGGCTACTTCGCGGTGGATCATTGGTCTGATCTTTATGGCTATTTTAATATTGTCGGAAGTCATTTTGGAAGCTTGAACTGAAATTTAATTAGAACTAGGGCTATTTCACGGGTTATAAAGAGGGGCAGATGTATCAGGTTGATACATTCTTTTTTCCTCCTTTCCAGTATAGAAGATTTTTTTCTCTTGTAGGCTATGAATGCGGTCCGATAGTTTAGTAGAGCTACATTTACAGGGTGACTCAAAATCAAAGAAGAAACAGAATTGTTAAATTTCATATAGACTGTTATTGTTATTACAAAAAGAAGTTGAAGCAGCAGCAAATTCTCACAAATCTATAGATCCATCACTTTCAGCACCCGATTTTTCAACTTGAAAAATGCAGCTCGGTGAAGAATCACAAGGTAACTGTTGTCTATTCAGACAATACTCTTCTAAAAGCAACGCGAAGTTACCTAGTGCCTTACATGAATCGCCTTCATAATTCTTCATTATTGTCAATGGAAAACTGAAATTGTTGATTATTACAGTTTTTAATGCTGCAAATAAGCAGATGGTGTTCGTGTTGGAAATCCCACGTCTAATCTCGCAAAACAGGTTATCCACCGGATCTTACTATCAACTTCTGAAATGCCATTACTGTTTTTAGCCATGTGTACAACAGGCTTGTACGCATAAAACGCTCAGGGGAACAATAAAATTTCGTCGCCTAATAGAACTTTCAGTCCCAGACTGAAAAAAAAGGAATTTACAGAAGCTGGTTGGATACCAAATAGCACAAGGCCATCTTCTCGTTCTCTAACCAGTATTGTAATTTACACACTTCCGATCTAATGCATTACCCCCCGCCTTCATAGTGTTATAAAAATAATATAGAATCTTATCAGGTTTCTTTGATTCCTCTACTATTTTGTTATCATGCTGCATAGATTGCTATACGAGAACATGTGTATTTGGTTTTGGAAGATACTACACTAAGGCTGTAGTGCTAGTGAACATAAACTTAGAAGTACCTGGCTGTGTTTCCTTCTTATTTGGAACTACATGTTGGGGTACTTGTTACTTATTTTTACGCTTCCTGCCGACATTGGTCAGTTGGTTGATGCGCAATTCTACATGTAATTCTACTGGTGTGATATTTCTGTTCGTATAGACGAAAGCATTGAGCAGGTAGTGGTGAGTCTTTGCATCATCAGTCCATACTTATTCGGTTCAGTTTTCTTGTAGGCACAGGAAGGACATCGGCCCACGAGCATCTCGTATTTTGTAGGGGACTCACCCGAAATATAAAAATTTCGACAGTTCTCTATGAATGTCTCGAAAATTTCACGTATTTGGAGAAATTTATCTGCATTTCTCGAGTCACAGGGTTATTATTTTCCAAATTGGTTGCCACGGACTTTAGTTCAGGTAAATGCGTAATAATATTGTCGTCTGGATCGACCAGTTGCAGGCGCTCGTTTTGACCAATTGTACATGTTTTTTCCATAAGCATAGCGAGGTCGCCCATAGGAAGTTGTTCAGGTTGATCGCTAACAGCGTCGTCCTCGGCGTAGTCTATGGTGTATTGTTCATCCGTCAACAACGAAAAAATCCATTGTGAAGGAAGTTCAAATCGTACACGCAACTGACATCCTCGGATCAAATTTGACCGCAAAGTCAACAAAGCAACACTTGTGATGTTTAATTTAAACTGTGGTTTGAGGTATACGTGCTTATACCGTATGAGAAGTCACGGGACCCCCACCACATAACTGAGAAAGCTCGAATCATCCGACGATACCATTAAAGGATTAATTTCTATATTCTTAAACGAATCTATAAAATCAAAGTGGCTGGGTTTCAATTTACATAGCTCTTTGTATGGTCTTGTTTGCTGATCAACATTATATGCTTTCTAGACATGTTCAAGCTGTGCAGCTTCTTCACTTTCATATTAATGTCAATAAGAGCATTTCATCCATTTTTGAATAAATGTGGTTCATCACAAATTGTAGAAATACTCTGAGCATTGACTATAAAATGGAATGGACTTGATCCGTGAGTATTCTCCGAGCAAATCGTCTCAAGTGCGTTTTTGATCGTTGCGCCCTGATTACAAATAGTGCCAACGACGCACAAACCAAGTCGCTGCAAGTTTGTGATCACATGAACAATAATCGTTTTCAGATCTGGGATTCTTGTATCTTTTACTAGATAATAAGCCACAACCTGCTTACAATTTTTACGAATCCCTCTTATCATGGAAGTAAGGGCATGATTTCTGATAAATCACTTTTACAGAGTTCTAGTTGATTTTGTTACCTCAGAATTCAAGATTTATTAGCTGAAAATTGTACACTGTGAGCGGTTACCAAGACTAGATTCACAATATTAAGTCCTAGGTGCTATCGTGGTGCGTGGGATCAGCCCTAAACTTTGTCCAAACCCTGCAATAATCGTAAACACTAAACAAGGGTAGACATATTTCTAGTTTAACTGCCTGAAGATTTTCTCTATGGTTTATACGTAACTCTCCATCCTATTATCTCGTTTTTGTACATGTTCTGGAAGAACTCAACTTGCTCCCTATAAAATGCAACGTCTTCCTGCACAGGTGGTTCTGGTTAAGTGCCAGCCTGCTTCGGGTTTGTAATTAGTTGTTGCAATTTACTGATTTCGTCGTCATTTTTCATAATCCAGATTTCGTTTGGCATTCCAGTTCAGCCATTTGATCCTGAAGCTCTTTTATAGTAGAATCATTATGGCATCGTATATCTGAGATTTTAAATGAGTGGTTGTCCTCACGTTGGTTACTCTCGTCCATCAGACTCTTTACGTCATTTCTCAGTTTAGATTCAAGTTCTTTTAGGAAGCCAATTTCATCTTGCAGTTCAGCAATGTGTGACATCGTTACATCAGTTTGTGTAGCAGCACTTAAAGAATCTTGCATATCTTCGTACTCAGCGTCAAGCATAGCTTCTAAGTCTGCAACCTTCTTTTTTGACTCAATATTTTGAGCTTCAAGAGATAGTTTAGGGCTCTCTGATCTTCCTAGGTTCTTCAGTTGAGTACGCAGCATCTCTATTTCTGACTCGTACGTTTTAGTCTTTTTATAATGTTTTTCCAGAAAATCGAGTCTGTATTGCAAGTCGATGAAATTCTTGCGCTTTTTAGAATTTTTTTGAACCCTTTCTATTTCTTCATTGTACGCATCCGTTACTTGGCGGAGTTCCTGACTGTAACGATCGATTTTAGAATTGGCTTCTGTGAGCTGTTTCTTCAGGTCCAAAATCTTCAGCTGTTTATCTAGTTTAGTGAATTCTCTGAGCTCATTGAAAGATTCTTCCAGTTCTTTGAGTTGTCTTTTAAGTACACTTGCAGGCACGTGTTCAGCTATCACAGATTCTGCTTCGGCTAGTGCCTCCTCATATGTCTCTCCTTGAATAGGCCTCATTTCACGTCCGGATGATTCTTTTTCGGGTGGATAATTTTTCAATGTCATATACCGTATGGATGCTTTTTTAGGTGATACGTTGCCATAGTCTCCAAAAGTATGACGTCTTAATGTTTTTTTCGGTGTTGATGCCGAGGCTCCCATTTGAAAGCGCCCGACAATAGATACTTCCGTTTTTAGTCTTTCTATCTCGAGCAGATACTCTTGTTTGCTTTTCTCCATCTCTTCTAGCTTAATTGCCTGCTTTTTGAGCCGAGTTTCGAGATCGCGAGTCAAGTTCTGATATCCTTGAAGTGCCTCTTCTGTAGCTGACAAGATGTTTACTTTCGGTTTATTTTGACAGTTTTAGTGCTTTGGGCGAATTCTAGTGTAGATCTAGTCTCCTCCTCTGCAGCTAAAGTAACATTCCCGATAATCAATGATTTGGCATTACCGCCAAGAGCCTGTGAGAGCAGTCTAGTCAATTTCGAATCGCGATAACTGATAAACTCCTTCCCCTCGCTTAGTTGCCTTATCACATTTCCTAATACTGACAAAGATTTGTTTATGTTAGCCCCCTCTTTAAGATGCTCACCAGCAGCTTTCGTCAGAGAAACTCTCTCAGAACCAGCTAAGTCCATTAAGTTAAGGTAGCTTATATGTACAGGTCCATCTTTCTGATTGGCATCTTTCGACTCCAGAATAATCCGGAAAATCGTGTGTGATCGAGATGACCTCTCATTCATGCGAGTAGCTGCAACTCGTCTGATCTTATTGCCCTGCATCATGTTCTCCATAACTTGATCAACATTGTCTACGACAGCTTCCCTTGCATCAAGCAGCACATTTCCTTTGATATCTTCTCTTATAGTTAAACCCTGATTGCTCTTATCCAGGAGGTCATTGATCTTTTCATTGTAGATTTCAATATAACTGAATCTAATCAAGTACCTCTTATCAACCTGGTCTGCCACATGCTGGAATAACTGATTGGATACTAATTGGAAAAGCCCAGGATCTGTTTTATTGCCCAAAATGGTGTGTGTTTTGCCAGAAGATGTTTGGCCGTATGCAAATATTGTTGCATTGAAACCTTCCATGAAGGAATCGACTAAAGGTTTTACTACAGATCCATATACATCTGAATTTGTACATTCCTGGTTAAATACATTGTCGAATATATAAACCTCTCCATGGCGACTACTTTCATTGGCTTCCCATATGCAGTTTTCACTTACGTTCCAAAGACGCTCTAGACCATCGGCTACTCGCGGTGGATCATTGGTCTGATCTTTATGGCTACTTTAATATTGTCGGAAGTCATTTTGGAAGCTTGAACTGAAATTTAATTAGGACTAGGGCTATTTCACGGGTTATAAAGAGGGGCAGATGTATCAGGTTGATACATTCTCTTTTTTCCTCCTTTCCAGTATAGAAGATTTTTTTCTCTTGTAGGCTATGAATGCGGTCCGATAGTTTAGTAGAGCTACATTTACAGGGTGACTCAAAATCAAAGAAGAAACAGAATTGTTAAATTTCTTATAGACTGTTATTGTTATTACAAAAAGAAGTTGAAGCAGCAGCAAATTCTCACATATCTATAGATCCATCACTTCCAGCACCCGATTTTTCAACTTGAAAAATGCAGCTCGGTGAAGAATCACAAGGTAAACTGTTGTCTATTCAGACAATACTCTTCTAAAAGCAACGCGAAGTTACCTAGTGGCCTTACATGAATCGCCTTCATAATTCTTCATTATTGTCAATGGAAAACTGAAATTGTTGGTTATTACAGTTTTTAATGCTGCAAACAAGCAGATGGGGTTTCGTGTTCTAATCTCGCAAAACAGGTTATCCACCGGATCTTACTATCAACTTCTGAAATGCCATTACTGTTTTTAGCCATGTGTACAACAGGTTTGTATGCATAAAACACTCTTACATGAAAACTGTTTATTGTCTAAAAACGAAAATACCCCATTTGAAGATGAGTAATGCAATAAATATAATTTACGAAACTTGAACTGTAATATGAACATAAAAAAACTAACAAAATGGGCCATTTAACAACATATTTGGTGTTGATATTCTACAACAAAAGAAATACTTTCTCGTATAAGGAAACGTACAATAATTCACATTTATCACTTTTCACGAAACAATCTAGCTGCGCTGTGACTTTACGTACTTATTACAGATTGTAGAACATTTTTTTCATTGTGTATTGTCATGTAACACCTACGTCGTTTTTTCCCTTTAACAACTGCATCAGGATCGAGAACTCTGGGCTGAGAAGTAGACGGCTTACTTTATTCATCGTTGGTAATTTTGGATTCTTTGCATGGCTGAACGAAGCTCCCTAGGACGTCTTGGATCTGATAAACGTCCTCTCATACGAAGTTAAATTAGAGTTTGCCTCAGAGGAACAATAAAATTTCGTCGCCTAATAGAACTTTCAGTCCCAGACTGAAAAAAAAAGGAATTTACAGAAGCTGGTTGGATACCAAATAGCACAAGGCAATCTTCTCGTTCTCTAACCAGTATTGTAATTTACACACTTCCGATCTAATGCATTACCCCCCGCCTTCATAGTGTTATAAAAATAATATAGAATCTTATCAGGTTTCTTTGATTCCTCTACTATTTTGTTATCATGCTGCATAGATTGCTATACGAGAACATGTGTATTTGGTTTTGGAAGATACTACACTAAGGCTGTAGTGCTAGTGAACGTAAACTTAGAAGTACCTGGCTGTGTTTCCTTCTTATTTGGAACTACATGTTGGGGTACTTGTTACTTATTTTTACGCTTCCTGCCGACAGTTGGTCAGTTGGTTGATGCGCAATTCTACATGTAATTCTACTGGTGTGATATTTCTGTTCGTATAGACGAAAGCATTGAGCAGGTAGTGGTGAGTCTTTGCATCATCAGTCCATACTTATTCGGTTTAGTTTTCTTGTAGGCACAGGAAGGACATCGGCCCACGAGCATCTCGTATTTTGTAGGGGACTCACCCGAAAAATAAAAATTTCGACAGTTCTCTATGAGTGTCTCGAAAATTTCACGTATTTGGAGAAATTTATCTGCATTTCTCGAGTCACAGGGTTATTATTTTCCAAATTGGTTGCCACGGACTTTAGTTCAGGTAAATGCGTAATAATATTGTCGTCTGGATCGACCAGTTGCAGGCGCTCGTTTTGACCAATTGTACATGTTTTTTCCATAAGCATAGCGAGGTCGTCCATAGGAAGTTGTTCAGGTTGATCGCTAACAGCGTCGTCCTCGGCGTAGTCTATGGTGTATTGTTCATCCGTCAACAACGAAAAAATCCATTGTGAAGGAAGTTCAAATCGTACACGCAGCTGACATCCTCGGATCAAATTTGACCGCAAAGTCAACAAACCAACACTTGTGATGTTTAAATTAAACTGTGGTTTGAGGTATACGTGCTTATACCGTATGAGAAGTCACGGGAGCCCCACCACATAACTGAGAAAGCTCGAATCATCCGACGATACCATTAAAGGATTAATTTCTATATTCTTAAACGAATCTATAAAATCAAAGTGGCTGGGTTTCAATTTACATAGCTCTTTGTATGGTCTTGTTTGTTGATCAACATTATATGCTTTCTAGACATGTTCAAGCTGTGCAGCTTCTTCACTTTCATATTAATGTCAATAAGAGCATTTCATCCATTTTTGAATAAATGTGGTTCATCACAAATTGTAGAAATACTCTGAGCATTGACTATAAAATGGAATGGACTTGATCCGTGAGTATTCTCCGAGCAAATCGTCTCAAGTGCGTTTTTGATCGTTGCGCCCCGATTACAAATAGTGCCAACGACGCACAAACCAAGTCGCTGCAAGTTTGTGATCACATGAACAATAATCGTTTTCAGATCTGGGATTCTTTTATCTTTTACTAGATAATAAGCCACAACCTGCTTATAATTTTTACGAATCCCTCTTATCATGGAAGTAAGGGCATGATTTCTGATAAATCACTTTTACAGAGTTCTAGTTGATTTTGTTACCTCAGAATTCAAGATTTATTAGCTGAAAATTGTACACGTGAGCGGTTACCAAGACTAGATTCACAATCTTAAGTCCTAGGTGCTATCGTGGTGCGTGGGATCAGCCCTAAACTTTGTCCAAACCCTGCAATAATCGTAAACACTAAACAAGGGTAGACATATTTCTAGTTTAACTGCCTGAAGATTTTCTCTATGGTTTATACGTAACCCTCCATCTATTATCTCATTTTTGTACATGTTCTGGGAGAACTCTACTTGCTCCCTATAAAATGCAACGTCTTCCTGCACAGCTGGTTCTGGTTAAGTGCCAGCCTGCTTCGGGTTTGTAATTAGTTGTTGCAATTTACCGATTTCGTCGTCATTTTTCATAATCCAGATTTCGTTTTGGCATTCCAGTTCAGCCATTTGATCCTGAAGCTCTTTTATAGTAGAATCATTATGGCATCGTATATCTGAGATTTTAAATGAGTGGTTGACCTCACGTTGGTTACTCTCGTCCATCAGACTCTTTACGTCATTTCTCAGTTTAGATTCAAGTTCTTTTAGGAAGCCAATTTCATCTTGCAGTTCAGCAATGTGTGACATCGTTACATCAGTTTGTGTAGCAGCACTTAAAGAAACTTGCATATCTTCGTACTCAGCGTCAAGCATAGCTTCTAAGTCTGCAACCTTCTTTTTTGACTCAATATTTTGAGCTTCAAGAGATAGTTTAGGGCTCTCTGATCTTCCTAGGTTCTTCAGTTGAGTACGCAGCATCTCTATTTCTGACTCGTATGTTTTTAGTCTTTTTATAATGTTTTTCCAGAAAATCGAGTCTGTATTGCAAGTCGATGAAATTCTTGCGCTTTTTGAGAATTTTTTTGAACCCTTTCTATTTCTTCATTGTACGCATCCGTTACTTGGCGGAGTTCCTGACTGTAACGATCGATTTTAGAATTGGCTTCTGTGAGCTGTTTCTTCAGGTCCAAAATCTCCAGCTGATTATCTAGTTTAGTGAATTCTCTGAGCTCATTGAAAGATTCTTCCAGTTCTTTGAGTTGTCTTTTAAGTACACTTGCAGGCACGTCTTCAGTTATCACAGATTCTGCTTCGGCTAGTGCCTCCTCATATGTCTCTTCTTGAATAGGCCTCATTTCACGTCCGGATGATTCTTCTTCGGGCTGGATAATTTTTCAATGGCATATACCGTAGGGATGCTTTTTTAGGTGATACGTTGCCATAGTCTCCAAAAGTATGACGTCTTAATGTTTTTTTCGGTGTTGATGCCGAGGCTCCCATTTGGAAGCGCCCGACAATAGATACTTCCGTTTTTAGTCTTTCTATCTCGAGCAGATACTCTTGTTTGCTTTTCTCCATCTCTTCTAGCTTAATTGCCTGCTTTTTGAGCCGAGTTTCGAGATCGCGAGTCAAGTTCTGATATCCTTGAAGTGCCTCTTCTGTAGCTGACAAGATGTTTGCTTTCGGTTTATTTTTGACAGTGTTAGTGCTTTGGGCGAATTCTAGTGTAGATCTAGTCTCCTCCTCTGCAGCTGAAGTAACATTCCCGATAATCAATGATTTGGCATTACTGCCAAGAGCCTGTGAGAGCAGTCTAGTCAATTTCGAATCGCGATAACTGATAAACTCCTTCCCCTCGCTTAGTTGCCTTATCACATTTCCTAATACTGACAAAGATTTGTTTATGTTAGCCCCCTCTTTAAGATGCTCACCAGCAGCTTTCGTCAGAGAAACTCTCTCAGAACCAGCTAAGTCCATTGAGTTAAGGTAGCTTATATGTACAGGTCCATCTTTCTGATTGGCATCTTTCGACTCCAGAATAATCCGGAAAATCGTGTGTGATCGAGATGACCTCTCATTCATGCGAATAGCTGCAACTCGTCTGATCTTATTGCCCTACATCATGTTCTCCATAACTTGATCAACATTGTCTACGACAGCTTCCCTTGCATCAAACAGCACATTTCCTTTGATATCTTCCCTTATAGTTAAACCCTGATTGCTCTTATCCAGGAGGTCATTGATCTTTTCATTGTAGATTTCAATATAACTGAATCTAATCAAGTACCTCTTATCAACCTGGTCTGCCACATGCTGGAATAACTGATTGGATACTAATTGGAAAAGCCCAGGATCTGTTTTATTGCCCAAAATGGTGTGTGTTTTGCCAGAAGATGTTTGGCCATATGCAAATATTGTTGCATTGAAACCTTCCATGAAGGAATCGACTAAAGGTTTTACTACAGATCCATATACATCTGAATTTGTACATTCCTGGTTAAATACATGGTCGAATATATAAACCTCTCCATGGCGACTACTTTCATCGGCTTCCCAAATGCAGTTTTCTCTTACGTTCCAAAGACGCTCTAGACCATCGGCTACTTCGCGGTGGATCATTGGTCTGATCTTTATGGCTATTTTAATATTGTCGGAAGTCATTTTGGAAGCTTGAACTGAAATTTAATTAGAACTAGGGCTATTTCACGGGTTATAAAGAGGGGCAGATGTATCAGGTTGATACATTCTTTTTTTCCTCCTTTCCAGTATAGAAGATTTTTTTCTCTTGTAGGCTATGAATGCGGTCCGATAGTTTAGTAGAGCTACATTTACAGGGTGACTCAAAATCAAAGAAGAAACAGAATTGTTAAATTTCATATAGACTGTTATTGTTATTACAAAAAGAAGTTGAAGCAGAAGCAAATTCTCACAAATCTATAGATCCATCACTTTCAGCACCCGATTTTTCAACTTGAAAAATGCAGCTCGGTGAAGAATCACAAGGTAACTGTTGTCTATTCAGACAATACTCTTCTAAAAGCAACGCGAAGTTACCTAGTGCCTTACATGAATCGCCTTCATAATTCTTCATTATTGACAATGGAAAACTGAAATTGTTGATTATTACAGTTTTTAATGCTGCAAATAAGCAGATGGTGTTCGTGTTGGAAATCCCACGTCTAATCTCGCAAAACAGGTTATCCACCGGATCTTACTATCAACTTCTGAAATGCCATTACTGTTTTTAGCCATGTGTACAACAGGTTTGTACGCATAAAACGCTCAGGGGAACAATAAAATTTCGTCGCCTAATAGAACTTTCAGTCCCAGACTGAAAAAAAAAGGAATTTACAGAAGCTGGTTGGATACCAAATAGCACAAGGCCATCTTCTCGTTCTCTAACCAGTATTGTAATTTACACACTTCCGATCTAATGCATTACCCCCCGCCTTCATAGTGTTATAAAAATAATATAGAATCTTATCAGGTTTCTTTGATTCCTCTACTATTTTGTTATCATGCTGCATAGATTGCTATACGAGAACATGTGTATTTGGTTTTGGAAGATACTACACTAAGGCTGTAGTGCTAGTGAACATAAACTTAGAAGTACCTGGCTGTGTTTCCTTCTTATTTGGAACTACATGTTGGGGTACTTGTTACTTATTTTTACGCTTCCTGCCGACATTGGTCAGTTGGTTGATGCGCAATTCTACATGTAATTCTACTGGTGTGATATTTCTGTTCGTATAGACGAAAGCATTGAGCAGGTAGTGGTGAGTCTTTGCATCATCAGTCCATACTTATTCGGTTTAGTTTTCTTGTAGGCACAGGAAGGACATCGGCCCACGAGCATCTCGTATTTTGTAGGGGACTCACCCGAAATATAAAAATTTCGACAGTTCTCTATGAGTGTCTCGAAAATTTCACGTATTTGGAGAAATTTATCTGCATTTCTCGAGTCACAGGGTTATTATTTTCCAAATTGGTTGCCACGGACTTTAGTTCAGGTAAATGCGTAATAATATTGTCGTCTGGATCGACCAGTTGCAGGCGCTTGTTTTGACCAATTGTACATGTTTTTTCTATAAGCATAGCGAGGTCGCCCATAGGAAGTTGTTCAGGTTGATCGCTAACAGCGTCGTCCTCGGCGTGGTGTATTGTTCATCCGCCAACAACGAAAAAATCCATTGTGAAGGAAGTTCAAATCGTACACGCAACTGACATCCTCGGATCAAATTTGACCGCAAAGTCAACAAACCAACACTTGTGATGTTTAAATTAAACTGTGGTTTGAGGTATACGTGCTTATACCGTATGAGAAGTCACGGGACCCCCACCACATAACTGAGAAAGCTCGAATCACCCGACGATACCATTAAAGGATTAATTTCTATATTCTTAAACGAATCTATAAAATCAAAGTGGCTGGGTTTCAATTTACATAGCTCTTTGTATGGTCTTGTTTGCTGATCAACATTATTTGCTTTCTAGACATGTTCAAGCTGTGCAGCTTCTTCACTTTCATATTAATGTCAATAAGAGCATTTCATCCATTTTTGAATAAATGTGGTTCATCAAAAATTGTAGAAATACTCTGAGCATTGCTATAAAATGGAATGGACTTGATCCGTGAGTATTCTCCGAGCAAATCGTCTCAAGTGCGTTTTTGATCGTTGCGCCCTGATTACAAATAGTGCCAACGACGCACAAACCAAGTCGCTGCAAGTTTGTGATCACATGAACAATAATCGTTTTCAGATCTGGGATTCTTGTATCTTTTACTAGATAATAAGCCACAACCTGCTTATAATTTTTACGAATTCCTCTTATCATGGAAGTAAGGGCATGATTTCTGATAAATCACTTTTACAGAGTTCTAGTTGATTTTGTTACCTCAGAATTCAAGATTTATTAGCTGAAAATTGTACACTGTGAGCGGTTACCAAGACTAGATTCACAATCTTAAGTCCTAGGTGCTATCGTGGTCCGTGGGATCAGCCCTAAACTTTGTCCATACCCTGCAATAATCGTAAACACTAAACAAGGGTAGACATATTTCTAGTTTAACTGCCTGAAGATTTTCTCTATGGTTTATACGTAACTCTCCACCTATTATCTCATTTTTGTACATGTTCTGGGAGAACTCAACTTGCTCCCTATAAAATGCAACGTCTTCCTGCACAGGTGGTTCTGGTTAAGTGCCAGCCAGCTTCGGGTTTGTAATTAGTTGTTGCAATTTTCTGATTTCGTCGTCATTTTTCATAATCCAGATTTCGTTTTGGCATTCCAGTTCAGCCATTTGATCCTGAAGCTCTTTTATAGTAGAATCATTATGGCATCGTATATCTGAGACTTTAAATGAGTGGTTGACCTCACGTTGATTACTCTCGTCCATCAGACTCTTTACGTCATTTCTCAGTTTAGATTCAAGTTCTTTTAGGAAGCCAATTTCATCTTGCAGTTCAGCAATCTGTGACATCGTTACATCAGTTTGTGTAGCAGCACTTAAAGAATCTTGCATATCTTCATACTCAGCGTCAAGCGTAGCTTCTAAGCCTGCAACCTTCTTTTTTGACTCAATATTTTGAGCTTCAAGAGATAGTTAAGGGCTCTCTGATCTTCCTAGGTTCTTCAGTTGAGTACGCAGCATCTCTATTTCTGACTCGTATGTTTTTAGTCTTTTTATAATGTTTTTCCAGAAAATCGAGTCTGTATTGCAAGTCGATGAAATTCTTGCGCTTTTTGAGAATTTTTTTGAACCCTTTCTATTTCTTCGTTGTACGCATCCGTTACTTGGCGGAGTTCCTGACTGTAACGATCGATTTTAGAATTGGCTTCTGTGAGCTGTTTCTTCAGGTCCAAAATCTCCAGCTGATTATCTAGTTTAGTGAATTCTCTAAGCTCATTGAAAGATTCTTCCAGTTCTTTGAGTTGTCTTTTAAGTACACTTGCAGGCACGTCTTCAGCTATCACAGATTCTGCTTCGGCTAGTGCCTCCTCATATGTCTCTTCTTGAATAGGCCTCATTTCACGTCCGGATGATTCTTCTTTGGGTGGATAATTTTTCAATGGCATATACCGTAGGGATGCTTTTTTAGGTGATACGTTGCCATAGTCTCCAAAAGTATGACGTCTTAATGTTTTTTTCGGTGTTGATGACGAGGCTCCCATTTGAAAGCGCCCGACAATAGATACTTCCGTTTTTAGTCTTTCTATCTCGAGCAGATACTCTTGTTTGCTTTTCTCCATCTCTTCTAGCTTAATTGCCTGCTTTTTGAGCCGAGTTTCGAGATCGCGAGTCAAGTTCTGATATCCTTGAAGTGCTTCTTCTGTAGCTGACAAGATGTTTACTTTCGGTTTATTTTTGACAGTTTTAGTGCTTTGGGCGAATTCTGGTGTAGATCTAGTCTCCTCTGCAGCTAAAGTAACATTTCCGATAATCAATGATTTGGCATTACCGCCAAGAGCCTGTGAGAGCAGTCTAGTCAATTTCGAATCGCGATAACTGATAAACTCCTTCCCCTCGCTTAGTTGCCTTATCACATTTCCTAATACTGACAAAGATTTGTTTATGTTAGCCCCCTCTTTAAGACGCTCACCAGCAGCTTTCGTCAGAGAAACTCTCTCAGAACCAGCTAAGTCCATTAAGTTAAGGTAGCTTATATGTACAGGTCCATCTTTCTGATTGGCATCTTTCGACTCCAGAATAATCCGGAAAATCGTGTGTGATCGAGATGACCTCTCATTCATGCGAGTAGCTGCAACTCGTCTGATCTTATTGCCCTGCATCATGTTCTCCATAACTTTATCAACATTGTCTACGACAGGTTCTCTTGCATCAAGCAGCACATTTCCTTTGATATCTTCTCTTATAGTTAAACCCTGATTGCTCTTATCCAGGAGGTCATTGATCTTTTCATTGTAGATTTCAATATAACTGCATCTAATCAAGTACCTCTTATCAACCTGGTCTGCCACATGCTGGAATAACTGATTGGATACTAATTGGAAAAGCCCAGGATCTGTTTCATTGCCCAAAATGGTGTGTGTTTGCCAGATGTTTGCCAGAAGATGTTTGGCCATATGCAAATATTGTTGCATTGAAACCTTCCATGAAGGAATCGACTAAAGGTTTTACTACAGATCCATATACATCTGAATTTGTACATTCCTAGTTAAATACATGGTCGAATATATAAACCTCTCCATGGCGACTACTTTCATCGGCTTCCCATATGCAGTTTGCTCTTACGTTCCAAAGACGCTCTAGACCATCGGCTACTTCGGGGTGGATCATTGGTCTGATCTTTATGGCTACTTTAATATTGTCGGAAGTCATTTTGGAAGCTTGAACTGAAATTTAATTAGAACTAGGGCTATTTCACGGGTTATAAAGAGGGGCAGATGTATCAGGTTGATACATTCTTTTTTTCCTCCTTTCCAGTATAGAAGATTTTTTCTCTTGTAGGCTATGAATGCGGTCCGATAATTTAGTAGAGCTACATTTACAGGGTGACTCAAAATCAAAGAAGAAACAGAATTGTTAAATTTTATATAGACTGTTATTGTTATTACAAAAAGAAGTTGAAGCAGCAGCAAATTCTCACAAATCTATAGATCCATCACTTTCAGCACCCGATTTTTCAACTTGAAAAATGCAGCTCGGTGAAGAATCACAAGGTAACTGTTGTCTATTCAGACAATACTCTTCTAAAAGCAACGCGAAGTTACCTAGTGCCTTACATGAATCGCCTTCATAATTCTTCATTATTGTCAATGGAAAACTGAAATTGTTGATTATTACAGTTTTTAATGCTGCAAATAAGCAGATGGGGTTCGTGTTGGAAATCCCACGTCTAATCTCGCAAAACAGGTTATCCACCGGATCTTACTATCAACTTCTGAAATGCCATTACTGTTTTTAGCCATGTGTACAACAGGTTTGTACGCATAAAACACTCTTACATGAAAACTGTTTATTGTCTAAAAACGAAAATACCCCATTTGAAGATGAGTAATGCAACAAATATAATTTACGAAACTTGAACTGTAATATGAACATAAAAAAACTAACAAAATGGGCCATTTAACAACATATTTGGTGTTGATATTCTACAACAAAAACAAATACTTTCTCGTATAAGGAAACGTACAATAATTCACATTTATCACTTTTCACGAAACAATGTAGCTGCTCTGTGACTTTGCATACTTATTACAGATTGTAGAACATTTTTTTCATTGTGTATTGTCATGTAACACCTACGTCGTTTTTTCCCTTTATCAACTGCATCAGGATCGAGAACTCTGGGCTGAGAAGTAGACGGCTTACTTTATTCGTCGTTGGTAATTTTGGATTCTTTGCATGGCTGAACGAAGCTCCCTAGGAAGTCTTGGATCTGATAAACGTCCTCTCATACGAAGTTAAATTAGAGTTTGCCTCAGGAGAACAATAAAATTTCGTCGCCTAATAGAACTTTCAGTCCCAGACTGAAAAAAAAGGAATTTACAGAAGCTGGTTGGATACCAAATAGCACAAGGCAATCTTCTCGTGCTCTAACCAGTATTGTAATTTACACACTTCCGATCTAATGCATTACCCCCCGCCTTCATAGTGTTATAAAAATAATATAGAATCTTATCAGGTTTCTTTGATTCCTCTACTATTTTGTTATCATGCTGCATAGATTGCTATACGAGAACATGTGTATTTGGTTTTGGAAGATACTACACTAAGGCTGTAGTGCTAGTGAACGTAAACTTAGAAGTACCTGGCTGTGTTTCCTTCTTATTTGGAACTACATGTTGGGGTACTTGTTACTTATTTTTACGCTTCCTGCCGACGTTGGTCAGTTGGTTGATGCGCAATTCTACATGTAATTCTACTGGTGTGATATTTCTGTTCGTATAGACGAAAGCATTGAGCAGGTAGTGGTGAGTCTTTGCATCATCAGTCCATACTTATTCGGTTTAGTTTTCTTGTAGGCACAGGAAGGACATCGGCCCACGAGCATCTCGTATTTTGTAGGGGACTCACCCGAAAAATAAAAATTTCGACAGTTCTCTATGAGTGTCTCGAAAATTTCACGTATTTGGAGAAATTTATCTGCATTTCTCGAGTCACAGGGTTATTATTTTCCAAATTGGTTGCCACGGACTTTAGTTCAGGTAAATGCGTAATAATATTGTCGTCTGGATCGACCAGTTGCAGGCGCTCGTTTTGACCAATTGTACATGTTTTTTCCATAAGCATAGCGAGGTCGTCCATAGGAAGTTGTTCAGGTTGATCGCTAACAGCGTCGTCCTCGGCGTAGTCTATGGTGTATTGTTCATCCGTCAACAACGAAAAAATCCATTGTGAAGGAAGTTCAAATCGTACACGCAGCTGACATCCTCGGATCAAATTTGACCGCAAAGTCAACAAACCAACACTTGTGATGTTTAAATTAAACTGTGGTTTGAGGTATACGTGCTTATACCGTATGAGAAGTCACGGGAGCCCCACCACATAACTGAGAAAGCTCGAATCATCCGACGATACCATTAAAGGATTAATTTCTATATTCTTAAACGAATCTATAAAATCAAAGTGGCTGGGTTTCAATTTACATAGCTCTTTGTATGGTCTTGTTTGTTGATCAACATTATATGCTTTCTAGACATGTTCAAGCTGTGCAGCTTCTTCACTTTCATATTAATGTCAATAAGAGCATTTCATCCATTTTTGAATAAATGTGGTTCATCACAAATTGTAGAAATACTCTGAGCATTGACTATAAAATGGAATGGACTTGATCCGTGAGTATTCTCCGAGCAAATCGTCTCAAGTGCGTTTTTGATCGTTGCGCCCCGATTACAAATAGTGCCAACGACGCACAAACCAAGTCGCTGCAAGTTTGTGATCACATGAACAATAATCGTTTTCAGATCTGGGATTCTTTTATCTTTTACTAGATAATAAGCCACAACCTGCTTATAATTTTTACGAATCCCTCTTATCATGGAAGTAAGGGCATGATTTCTGATAAATCACTTTTACAGAGTTCTAGTTGATTTTGTTACCTCAGAATTCAAGATTTATTAGCTGAAAATTGTACACTGTGAGCGGTTACCAAGACTAGATTCACAATCTTAAGTCCTAGGTGCTATCGTGGTGCGTGGGATCAGCCCTAAACTTTGTCCAAACCCTGCAATAATCGTAAACACTAAACAAGGGTAGACATATTTCTAGTTTAACTGCCTGAAGATTTTCTCTATGGTTTATACGTAACCCTCCATCTATTATCTCATTTTTGTACATGTTCTGGGAGAACTCAACTTGCTCCCTATAAAATGCAACGTCTTCCTGCACAGCTGGTTCTGGTTAAGTGCCAGCCTGCTTCGGGTTTGTAATTAGTTGTTGCAATTTACCGATTTCGTCGTCATTTTTCATAATCCAGATTTCGTTTTGGCATTCCAGTTCAGCCATTTGATCCTGAAGCTCTTTTATAGTAGAATCATTATGGCATCGTATATCTGAGATTTTAAATGAGTGGTTGACCTCACGTTGGTTACTCTCGTCCATCAGACTCTTTACGTCATTTCTCAGTTTAGATTCAAGTTCTTTTAGGAAGCCAATTTCATCTTGCAGTTCAGCAATGTGTGACATCGTTACATCAGTTTGTGTAGCAGCACTTAAAGAAACTTGCATATCTTCGTACTCAGCGTCAAGCATAGCTTCTAAGTCTGCAACCTTCTTTTTTGACTCAATATTTTGAGCTTCAAGAGATAGTTTAGGGCTCTCTGATCTTCCTAGGTTCTTCAGTTGAGTACGCAGCATCTCTATTTCTGACTCGTATGTTTTTAGTCTTTTTATAATGTTTTTCCAGAAAATCGAGTCTGTATTGCAAGTCGATGAAATTCTTGCGCTTTTTGAGAATTTTTTTGAACCCTTTCTATTTCTTCATTGTACGCATCCGTTACTTGGCGGAGTTCCTGACTGTAACGATCGATTTTAGAATTGGCTTCTGTGAGCTGTTTCTTCAGGTCCAAAATCTCCAGCTGATTATCTAGTTTAGTGAATTCTCTGAGCTCATTGAAAGATTCTTCCAGTTCTTTGAGTTGTCTTTTAAGTACACTTGCAGGCACGTCTTCAGTTATCACAGATTCTGCTTCGGCTAGTGCCTCCTCATATGTCTCTTCTTGAATAGGCCTCATTTCACGTCCGGATGATTCTTCTTCGGGTGGATAATTTTTCAATGGCATATACCGTAGGGATGCTTTTTTAGGTGATACGTTGCCATAGTCTCCAAAAGTATGACGTCTTAATGTTTTTTTCGGTGTTGATGCCGAGGCTCCCATTTGGAAGCGCCCGACAATAGATACTTCCGTTTTTAGTCTTTCTATCTCGAGCAGATACTCTTGTTTGCTTTTCTCCATCTCTTTCTAGCTTAATTGCCTGCTTTTGAGCCGAGTTTCGAGATCGCGAGTCAAGTTCTGATATCCTTGAAGTGTCCTCTTCTGTAGCTGACAAGATGTTTGCTTTCGGTTTATTTTTGACAGTGTTAGTGCTTGGGCGAATTCTAGTGTAGATCTAGTCTCCTCCTCTGCAGCTAAAGTAACATTCCCGATAATCAATGATTTGGCATTACCGCCAAGAGCCTGTGAGAGCAGTCTAGTCAATTTCGAATCGCGATAACTGATAAACTCCTTCCCCTCGCTTAGTTGCCTTATCACATTTCCTAATACTGACAAAGATTTGTTTATGTTAGCCCCCTCTTTAAGACGCTCACCAGCAGCTTTCGTCAGAGAACTCTCTCAGAACCAGCCTAAGTCCATTAAGTTAAGGTAGCTTATATGTACAGGTCCATCTTCTGATTGGCATCTTTCGACTCCAGAATTAATCCGGAAATCGTTGTGGATCGAGATGACCTCTCATTCATGCGAGTAGCTGCAAACTCGTCTGATCTTATTGCCCTGCATCATGTTCTCCATAACTTATCAACATTGTCTACGACAGCTTCCCTGCATCAAGCAGCACATTTCCTTTGATATCTTCTCTTATAGTTAAACCCTGATGGCTCTTATCCAGGACGTCATTGATCTTTTCATTGTAGATTTCAATATAACTGCATCTAATCAAGTACCTTATCAACCTGGTCTGCCACATGCTGGAATAACTGATTGGATACTAATTGGAAAAGCCCAGGATCTGTTTTTATTGCCCAAAATGGTGTGTGTTTGCCAAGAAGATGTTTGGCCATATGCAAATATTGTGCATTGAAACCTTCCATGAAGGAATCGACTAAAGGTTTTTACTACAGATCCATATACATCTGAATTTGTACATTCCTGCTTAAATACATGGTCGAATATATAAACCTCTCCATGGCGACTACTTTCATCGGCTTCCCAAATGCAGTTTTCTCTTACGTTCCAAAGACGCTCTAGACCATCGGCTACTTCGCGGTGGATCATTGGTCTGATCTTTATGGCTATTTTAATATTGTCGGAAGTCATTTTGGAAGCTTGAACTGAAATTTAATTAGAACTAGGGCTATTTCACGGGTTATAAAGAGGGGCAGATGTATCAGGTTGATACATTCTTTTTTTCCTCCTTTCCAGTATAGAAGATTTTTTTTCTTGTAGGCTATGAATGCGGTCCGATAGTTTAGTAGAGCTACATTTACAGGGTGACTCAAAATCAAAGAGAAACAGAATTGTTAAATTTCATATAGACTGTTATTGTTATTACAAAAAGAAGTTGAAGCAGAAGCAAATTCTCACAAATCTATAGATCCATCACTTTCAGCACCCGATTTTTCAACTTGAAAAATGCAGCTCGGTGAAGAATCACAAGGTAACTGTTGTCTATTCAGACAATACTCTTCTAAAAGCAACGCGAAGTTACCTAGTGCCTTACATGAATCGCCTTCATAATTCTTCATTATTGTCAATGGAAAACTGAAATTGTTGATTATTACAGTTTTTAATGCTGCAAATAAGCAGATGGTGTTCGTGTTGGAAATCCCACGTCTAATCTCGCAAAACAGGTTATCCACCGGATCTTACTATCAACTTCTGAAATGCCATTACTGTTTTTAGCCATGTGTACAACAGGTTTGTACGCATAAAACGCTCAGGGGAACAATAAAATTTCGTCGCCTAATAGAACTTTCAGTCCCAGACTGAAAAAAAAAGGAATTTACAGAAGCTGGTTGGATACCAAATAGCACAAGGCCATCTTCTCGTTCTCTAACCAGTATTGTAATTTACACACTTCCGATCTAATGCATTACCCCCCGCCTTCATAGTGTTATAAAAATAATATAGAATCTTATCAGGTTTCTTTGATTCCTCTACTATTTTGTTATCATGCTGCATAGATTGCTATACGAGAACATGTGTATTTGGTTTTGGAAGATACTACACTAAGGCTGTAGTGCTAGTGAACATAAACTTAGAAGTACCTGGCTGTGTTTCCTTCTTATTTGGAACTACATGTTGGGGTACTTGTTACTTATTTTTACGCTTCCTGCCGACATTGGTCAGTTGGTTGATGCGCAATTCTACATGTAATTCTACTGGTGTGATATTTCTGTTCGTATAGACGAAAGCATTGAGCAGGTAGTGGTGAGTCTTTGCATCATCAGTCCATACTTATTCGGTTTAGTTTTCTTGTAGGCACAGGAAGGACATCGGCCCACGAGCATCTCGTATTTTGTAGGGGACTCACCCGAAATATAAAAATTTCGACAGTTCTCTATGAGTGTCTCGAAAATTTCACGTATTTGGAGAAATTTATCTGCATTTCTCGAGTCACAGGGTTATTATTTTCCAAATTGGTTGCCACGGACTTTAGTTCAGGTAAATGCGTAATAATATTGTCGTCTGGATCGACCAGTTGCAGGCGCTTGTTTTGACCAATTGTACATGTTTTTTCTATAAGCATAGCGAGGTCGCCCATAGGAAGTTGTTCAGGTTGATCGCTAACAGCGTCGTCCTCGGCGTGGTGTATTGTTCATCCGCCAACAACGAAAAAATCCATTGTGAAGGAAGTTCAAATCGTACACGCAACTGACATCCTCGGATCAAATTTGACCGCAAAGTCAACAAACCAACACTTGTGATGTTTAAATTAAACTGTGGTTTGAGGTATACGTGCTTATACCGTATGAGAAGTCACGGGACCCCCACCACATAACTGAGAAAGCTCGAATCATCCGACGATACCATTAAAGGATTAATTTCTATATTCTTAAACGAATCTATAAAATCAAAGTGGCTGGGTTTCAATTTACATAGCTCTTTGTATGGTCTTGTTTGCTGATCAACATTATATGCTTTCTAGACATGTTCAAGCTGTGCAGCTTCTTCACTTTCATATTAATGTCAATAAGAGCATTTCATCCATTTTTGAATAAATGTGGTTCATCACAAATTGTAGAAATACTCTGAGCATTGACTATAAAATGGAATGGACTTGATCCGTGAGTATTCTCCGAGCAAATCGTCTCAAGTGCGTTTTTGATCGTTGCGCCCCGATTACAAATAGTGCCAACGACGCACAAACCAAGTCGCTGCAAGTTTGTGATCACATGAACAATAATCGTTTTCAGATCTGGGATTCTTTATCTTTTACTAGATAATAAGCCACAACCTGCTTATAATTTTTACGAATC